CGATCGGTTGCCTCTCCTGCGTTCCCCCACCTGGGACCAAACCTGAAACGCCCAGGCATGTGCCCTGACCAAGGTCAAACCTGTGACCTTTCACTTCTATGCCCAACCAACCGAGTCACAGTGGTCGGGGAGCTTCGTCCTCTTTTAAGGAATCACCTCTTCCCCAGTGGATGCGGGCAGCGCTGGTGGGTCTTGGTGTCCAGGTCCCAGCCCTTCCCTGGACAAAGTGCAGACACAGGACCCTCCCTGGCTGAGACGCTCCCTGGGGACTTTGCCCTGTGGCACCTGCACACAGTTCCACTCCCCAGGGCAGCCCCTGACCTCGGGCATTCCCACCAACCCCAGGGGCCGGCCAGCAGCCTCCCTCTCCAGTTCACCAGCGGCTTCCAGGGCTCGCCACCACAGAACCCCGGTGGGGACGGTGTCACATAGAGACTGAAGCCACGAAGTTACCAAACCACAAGGCAAACAGGCTGGAGGATGAAGTATACATTCACGGAGCCCACGTCACCACACCTCAGATTCTGAGATAATTAGGACTGAATGAGAGATAAGGCCTCATTCATCCCATCAGCCTTTGCAAACCTCACGTCGACCAGGCCGACTCCAGCACTCAGCACCCCAGCGAGCCAGTCTCACAACGCCAGGCCTCTGTGTTCCCAGTGTCCTTGCCTGACCCACGGGCCCCAAGAGAAAGGCTCCCCAGGCACAGAGGCAGCCCCAGAGGACGGGCTCAGTCCCACACAAAGCTGTGCCCCCAAGACAGAGAGCGGTCCCCCTTGACACCCAGTGACCCCTCCCCCTCCTCACGGACTCCCCACCGGGACGAGGGCTCCGGAAGCACTGGGAAAAAATCAGCCCGAACAGCTGCAGCCACCTTCCTTCGAACATCTGAACACCCAACAAGACGGGAGACCACCTGCCAGGTAGCCCCCCACAGTTCTCCATCCCCGGGACATGGCTTCTGCACCTCTGCACCCTCTTTCTAGAGGTGTAAGTGGGGCAGTAGTAGACCGTGGGAAGCAGGACCTCCGGGTGATGGGCTCACCAACACAAGCTTCACCCCACTTCGCACCGGCTCTGCCCATGGCTGACATTTCTGAGTGTCCACCGCGTCCCAGGCACCACTTCTGGGCACTCTGTCCATGTGAGCAAATTGCATCTTCACCGAAACCCTCTACCTTCACCCGTCATCCCCGTGTATGAGGGGAAACTGAGTCACAAACAATAACCCAGCGAGGCAGGGCACGAGCCAGAACATGAACCCCAGGAGCCTGGTGCTAAAAGCCAAGGTTTTCTAAACTTTCATACCGGCCTGGATCTCAAATGGAAGGGGGCAGTGAAGGAGGAGGTCAAGGACCCAGGGAGAAAAAGAACCTACATCCTCACAGAGAAGACCATCAACAAATAAGTAAGAACTACAAGGTCATGGACAAGGGATAGGAAGAAAATCAGGAGCGATTTTGAGCAACCTTCTGAGACACCGTAAATGTTCGATGATCTTTTTCTGGGTCGTGGTCCCATTACTGCACACGCGTCAGAAGTTCATCAAGCTGTACACCGAAGACTTAAAATGTACCAGGAAACAGTGACCGCATGGCGGATGGTGGGAGGTTACAGACGAGGGAGGAAGAGAAGAAGACTGGGATGGTCCAGGCGGGAACGGAGCAGAATTGGAGGCACATGTCTAAACTCGTTTAATGTAATACAGGTAGAGAGAGACAGAAACATCTACAGACACGTGTGCACAGGTGGGTCAGGGGCACGTCCCCCTGCTCTGTCTGCCGAGAGGACCTAAAGCAAGGCCGCACGCCTCAGCAGCAGTGAGCACGCCAGGCGCCCGTCCACGTCTGGGCTGCTAATGCTGTTGTCCAATAGCAGGATTCCTTGGGGAAACAACTAACACCAGCGTGGTGACACAAAAGGTACACAAGATGAGAGCGCCTAGAGCACCTTGTCACACCGCAAAGGAGGGAAGCGTTCCATCAATCAATTCGTCAACCTCCAGTGAGGTCAAAGAACACTGAAATGTTCCCAATGGCTGAAGCTAGAATAACTTGAGCAAAAAAGTAACTAAGTAGTACTGGACTATATAACCCAAGTAGAAAACAACCGAATCCATGATGATACAAATAAATGACTGAATAAATAAACATGGGGGAGGGACAAATCTCCCACAGAGAAGAATTCCAAATAATTTACGTAGATATTCTGGCCTTAGAGAGTAGGAATAGAACTCCCCACTCCACCTGGGCCTTGTGACTTCCTTCTTAAGAGAACAACACGGGAGGGAGAGAAACGACAAATGCCACCTGAGCCAGGTGACCACGGTCAACATCATCAGTTTAGATGAGAGGGCGCTCGCTCCCCAAACCCATTATCCCCCCCCACCCCGTCCGCCTCGGTTCAATCATGAGAAAAATAGCAGAACAATCCCACGGACACCCTACGAAGTACCCAATGCTACTTACTGCTCAAGGCCATCAAGGTCATGGCAAACAAAGACCTGGGAAACCGTCAGAGCCCAGAAGAGTCGGAGGCGGCACTCTAACTAATACAGGTGGTATCGTGGGCAGGATCCTGGGACAGAAAAGGGGTCTCGGTGGGAAGACTAAGGAAACCTGAACACGGCACGGACTTCAGTTGGTAATAACATAGTGATATCGATTTGTCGACAGTGACAAAGTAAGCCATCCTAATGTATGACGTCAGCAATAGGGGGAAAACTGTGACACGGGAATGTGACACGGGAAGACTGCAGTATCCTTGCGGCTTATCTGGAAATCTAAAATTAGAAGCTTATTATTACTAAAAGTTACAGAAAAACGACAGAATGCCCCCTTTGTTTGGACTGAGCAGACACTAAAGGCCTCTCCAAGGAGACGGCGATGTCCAAGGTGAAGCTGATAGACGAGAAGGAGGCAGCAGGACACCAAGTAACCAGCAAAAGTCACAGGACATACGGGGCCCAAAGGAGGGAACACGGGGGGAAGAGGCCAGGTGGCTCACGTGGAGCCAGGGAAAGAGAGAACAGGAGCTGAACAGAATGAACGTCCCAGGGTGAACAGGGTGGACCAGGTAGATAAGGTCTAATAACCTCAGACGTTAGCCTCAGGGTGTGCCTGGAGGTCAGTGGAAGGAGTTAGCAAAAGGGGACAGATGTGATCTAAGCTTCCTGAATCACCCAGGCTGCTACAGGTGGAGGACTGGAGAGGGGCAGATAAGAAAGAAGGACGTGGTCACGCCAGAGTGGTCGATTTCAGGTAGCACAGTCACGGGGAGATGCCACCTGGCGAAGAGCTAGGAGTACTCAGGGAGATGAAAAAAGACAAGAAGAGGGAGGTCTCCACACACGTGGGGCAGGGGGTGTCCTGACCAGAGCAGGCCTCCCGCCCCAGGTGACAATCCCTGACTTTGACCCTCTTGGAGAAGTCTCCACAGTGAGGCTCCAGGAAGAAAGCACCTCCTTAGGGGCAGAGCCTCGGTTCTGCCACTCACTGCCTGTGAGACATTACCATTTGGAGCCTCAGTCTGCTCATCCACAACAACACCTCCCTCCCAAGGGGACTGGAGGAACTCAGTAAGAGGAAGCCTTCCTAAACCGTGAGGATGTTTTCTGCACAAGAGGCCCGAGGGGGGAGGAAATTCAGAATCTAACCCGACACCCGGTTTTACAGAGAAGAAACCGGAGGCGCGGAGACAGCCGGCTCCAAGCCCCAAGGGAGCCTGAACAGTGACGGACCCACATACATCTCCCAGCGCCCGCCTCCGGCTTCTCCCTCGACATTCTGACCACAAGAAGGGGCTGGGCCACACTCCCTCCAGCTGTCGCAAAACACTCCCTTCAGGAAGGTACTTTCCCTGCTCACAACTCCCCCACCGATGCTTCCCCCCACGGGCTGGATGGGGGCAGTGACAAAGAAAGAAGGGCCCGCGAACTGGGCCCACCCTCCCAACCTCTCCCTTCCCCCGCCCCCATGTGGGCAGCCTGGCCCCTCCCACCTGAGGGGCCTGCGCGGAGGGGGGTGGGCCCTTTCTGGACCATGCCAATCCCCCATCTGTCGGGTCCACCCCCCCCCCTTCCCAGGTTGCAGTCATGACTACCTGACCCCTATCTATCTTTGCCCCGAATGCCAAGCTTGTGCAAATCTTCAAAAAGCTCTGTTGTGTCAGATGCTCTGTGGGAGCAGCCACTTTCTGTGCTGCTCTCCTCTCTGACAGATGGGGGGGTCTCTCTGGCAGAGAGTCCCCACCCCCCAGACACGGGGCTGTGTGCCCAGGCAGGCAGGCAGGCAGCACCTCGCTGAGGCATTGCAACCCCGTGCTGCTACCATGAAGTTTAGAGATGAGCATTTTCACCAACCAACCGAAGCCGTGAAAAATACCCCAGGACCTCATCTTTACAAGCACCCCTGGAGGCAAAAGTGAGCAACCGCCTCCCATAATATCGCCCACAGGCCAAACGAAAAGCACCAACCCTTCAATTAGAAGCTGAAAGAGTCTAATACAGATTTCTGTCTCAGCAAACATCAGTGGTGTTTGGTCCAACTTGTTCAATTTTGCGACTACTGGCCCCGGTATCCCGGCAGCCCTGCATCCCCTTCTACTCCTATGAGCCCACACGGGAATGCTCTTCTAGTCGCACACAGAGCACTGCTGGAGACAGGTGGCTTCCAGAACATCCTCTATTTAAATTCTGATTCCTGAAAGTCACCCTGCAGAGAGACAGCCCGTCACCCTCAGTCAAGACATAAAATGTGCCGTCACGAACAGTCCCCGCCAACAGGTAGGCATTCGTGCAGGGGCACGCAAGGGAAAGAAAAGCAAAGAGAGATTTCCCCATAAATCAGGTGCATCCTTCTGAGGTCCCACATCTCAAAATCAGAGGAGTGTTGCAACCTCGGCTCATGGAGACACACTTCACTGCGCTACAGTAAGAGAAAGAAATTCCCATTTCCTCCTCTGCTCTGGAATAGGTAATATACAAGACTTGGACTCACCTTTTGAGCGAGTAGAGATATCCATGCCCTCTACCACCTCCTGTTCTGTTTTTATTTCCTCTTCAGCCAAGCTGAAACAGAGCAAATGATGTTCAGGTTTAGGCAGACTGAGAACCTGCCCCATGGGGGTGTCATGGGGGTGTCTTTAGAAGTCCTACTTGAACAAATCCAACTTGAACAGAATCCACCATCCTTAGGTAGGGATGGAGGCCGGGAGGGGGGAGAAATCCACACTTGATTGCAAACAAAGTGTTAAAGCCTCCTAAAGGAGTATTTTTAAAACTCTAGGTTGTTCTTTTTTTAAGTCAAATTACTATCCCACTTTGTCATGCTGGGGGGGGCAAAAAAGCCCCCCCTTTCTTTTTTTTTTTTAGACACAAAATTACAATCTGCCCCACCCAGCCTTGAGTAAACAAGTTTCTCACTCTAACCCAGGGTTCAGGGAGCAGGTTCGGAGTATCCATATTCTGATGTCTGAATTCTGTAAGGCAAACAGCATTTCTCAGACCTCCCTGCCAAATCTTACAATGTCCTGGCGAGGCAGGAACATGAAAAAATGTACAGAATTACAATGTAGAAAAATGTGCCCCTGCTAAAAGGCCTGGTCTCAAAACATTCGACCCCTAGCATTGATCCCGGGAGTGAGGACTGGGGTCAACACACCCCCCACCCACCCCGCGGATGTTCCCTCTGGGTAGCAGGCATGGCTTAGAGAAAGCATTCAGCACTCTTCTGAGCTGTGACTAATTATCCCCCACCACAAAGGTGGAATGAGGAAGGATTATTTGAAAGAGAGGCTGAGAGTTGGGGGTTGGGGAGAGGAGCAGAAAAGCGGGCCCATTGGCTAGGAAGGTCCACCAGAAATCTTCTTTTCTCTTCTGGAACTCCTCCTGGTATAGAGCGCAGACCACTTCATAGCTTCACCCCCCCCACCCCATCCCCCACCACACACCTCCTATGCCACGCCAGTCAAGTTCTGCTTCAAGAGGTGCAGAATGTGAGGTGCTGAACTTCCCCAACGTTCGGGCTGACGGTGAAGTGATAAAAATCTTAACAGTTACTCTAATGTAATCCCCTCAGACGGTGGTTCAACGAGATACGGTGCCCCCCCCCCCAACTGCTGTGGCTGGAACTTTCCATCTGGAAGACTCACAGCCAGGACAGGAGGGAGGCCGGGTAGGACAGCAAGGACCAGCATGTCCCTTCTGTATTTCATGGTCTGGAGCTGTCTGGGACAGAAGATGAGTCCCAGAAGGCCTGGTCACATGGAGGTGTGTTTAGGGGAGAGCTCCACGTTTGTTGGGGGAAAAGGGTTCAGAATGGCAACTAGGTAGAGAGGAAGAGAGGACAGCTCAGAATTCAATGATAAAAACTCGGAGGCCTCAAACTCAACTAGTCCCAGCAGAGAGAAGCAAGGTAGTTTGCTTTTAAATCAGAATATTAACACCTTGAGCTCTCTGATACTGGACCCGTTAACAATTTCATTTGCACCACGTCTGTAGAGACAGGCTGTGACACAAGTCTCCAAAGAAGTAACTGACATGTTGTCACAAATGGTTTTCATCAGAAGAAAGCAGCCTTTTACATTTAAACACACCACTAACACGCACAAACACGACGGTGTTGGGGGAAGGTGATCCAAGCAACTCACTCCACTTTCAGAGGCACAGGTTCTCAACTCAAAAACACACACCCAAAGGCTGTCCAGGGAGATTCTGGTGATGGTTTGTTTCCTCCTTGGACTGGTTGGAAATCAGTTTTAACAGAGAACCCCATGCAGCCCGCTGCAGAGGTGGGTGAATGGTCCACTTCAAAAGAACCAATAACCGCCTCGACCTTTCTGCCAACAAGAACTGTTTCCCTCTCTAGCATCAAGTATGTGAAATCCTAAACTTCTGAAACCAACCCCATCTTTGGAGTGATGGAGAGAAAAATGCTAGTCTGGGATCTAACCGACATGTCCAGCAGTGAAAGAAACAATTAATGCATAACCGAACTCCCAAAACCCACCTGAAGGATTTCTGCAGGGATGAAAACAGTCAAAGGTACCGTGATTGGGGGAGGGGGGCTGTATTCAAGACAATGATTGGGCTTGGAACAGCCCAGAGGAGTCGAATACTTCAGGCAGAGATGCCAATGAAAGGCTAAGAAAATGCAAACTAGCAATGGGGGTGGGGGGGAGTACACTATTTGCCGCTGAGTTGAAGGTAATCAATTCTGGAGCAGAAAAGAAGGGGGGAAAAGTTAAGCTGTTTTTATCTTTCCAAGTAGTACGAGTGGGCACCATAATCACCTAACTTTAGCAACAGCACCACCAGCTCTCCCCAAGGATTTCGAGTACAATTTCGGAAAGCCATCTTTTTCACAGATCAGCAAGCCATCCTTCCAGAGAGAATCCGTGTAGGCACATGCATGCACACACGCACACACAAAATACACTGCATTTGACTAAAGGAAACTGCAGAGTCTGTGCATTAAAAGAGAAAAAAAAATTCATTTACAAAAGCAAAGACCAGAATGCAAAATCAGTCATTTTTGAATAGCCACATCTAAAGGGACTTCCTTTTTCCTACACCACTGAATTCAGGTGGTTTTGTTTTGTTTTGTGTGTGTGTGTGTGTGTGTGTGTGTGTGTGTGTGTTTTGGTTTAGTGTTAAGTACTGGGATGTTATTAAAGAAAAAACTATGAATATTACATCAAAAGTGGTGGTGAGACAAGATTTGTTGTACCTGTCTGCGTGCCCCACAGAGCCTGATCAATTCAGGTTAAGAACTGTTCAGTCACTGTGGGGGGGGGGAGTCAAATAACAGTCATTGTTGAAAAGCCAGCTGCTTCTGGAGAGAAGACTTTGAACTCTTGTCATTAACACATTCAAGTCTTAGGAAATATACAGCATCTTTCCTTCCCTATCTGTTCGCTGCCAGCAACCGGGCTATTTCAATCAAAAACAATGGAACAACAAGCCCTTGTTACAAACTGACATTACTTTTTTTTTTCCCCTGTTAAGGTCTGCAGGGGAGACTGGGGCCCACACCAGGAGAGGCTGAAAAGCAAACAACAATCCCTCACCCCAACAGGAAAATTCACCATCAACTAGTTGTATATATTACGTTACCACCACCACTTCTGGCACTCGCATTTACCCTAAGTCACTTGCCTCTGGATTTCACAAACTGACACACTTCGGACAATTAAAAGAAATAACAGCGCCTGAAAAATACAACCAAGACCATGCCATGCCATCCCATCCCAGAAAGAATACATTTCTCCCCCAGTGCCTAAGCAGGAAAACCTAAGCTTCCTTCTTAACCTGCATGCACTGAAAAAGAGCAATTAAAAGTTGCAGATGAACTGCTGAACCTCCAGAATGCTTTAAGCCTTCTGATTATTAATTCTGAGGGCTGGAGGCTGGTCCGTAATACCCAGGAATCCCATCCCCTCAACACTCCCAAAAGAGAGAGGGAGAGATGAAAAAATCTAATTTTTACATAAAAATGCCTGGATACACAATGCCCAGATCTTTCTTCTCCCCAAGTGCCCCGACTACTTGACTTTTAACCAAGAATATCTAAACCCATCTAGAATATACAGCCAGCATGCATGAGACTCTGGTCCTACAGCTGAGATCAATGCACAGCAATTCAACAAGCATGCATCATTCCAAAGGACTTTTCCCTTCAGCTTTTTACTTTCATTCAAAATACCAAACTGGTCCAGGCTGCAAGAAATAGTTAATCCCCAAGATACAACATCTTCCTCTTCTAGATCACAAAACAGTCAACATCAAAATTTCAAAAACCATGCTTCCCTAAATCTGCAATTCGTTTTTTGTTTTGTTTTTTTTAATTGAGGGAGGGAAGGGAATGGTTAGCAGAACAGCTTTATATAAGCACTCACCTAAAACAGGCCGTCATCGGGAGCTAAGCTATTTATGCAGGATTCTTAAAATGGCGTCTGGCAACACTGCCTCATTCCTGTATTGAAGCTAAAATGGTAGCAGTTTGTTCAATAGCTGTAGCTCTTGTTTAAGCAGCCCTGCTAGTTTCAAAGCCACCTTCCTAAATATCAGAACCAGGAAAAGCTCAACCAGAGGACACCAGCAGCAACCCAACGTTTAGAAGCTTAAAAAAAAAAAAAAAAACCCTGCAATGACAGGGGGAGTTTGTGAAGTCACAGGTTCCTAAGGAAAAGCCTTCCCTCGCTCACATCCTGAGCCTTCTACCAGGAGGCTCTGAGAGGAAGCCCCCTGGCCCTCAAAATAGGTGGGTGAAGGTTAGGAACCAGGCAGCCCTGTGGCATAAACTGCGGGGAGACAGGTGTCTGCAGAAAACCCAAGAACATGAAAAGGGGGCAGGGAGGGCAGGGGAAGGAAGCCCATGTCCCCTTCTTGGTACATTACAAACCAGCTCTGCACCCACAGCAGAAAGTAGCTAAATAAAATGAACGTGCTTCTAGGACAACAGGCATCTGAAAAGCCAAGCCCAAGGGCTGCACCCCGGTCTGAGGCCAAGGCAAAGTCAAAAGGCAGCATGTACACGCCTGAAAACGGCCACTAAATACCCAGCCAGTCCTAACTCAGCCTCAAGGAAAGACAATCGGAGTCTGCAGAGACACAATGGTAAAACATTCGCCCGGCCAATGCACAGGATACTCACAAATTAGGTTTTTGTCCACCCCCAACAGAGCCCTGAAAATTAACAACGGGTTTTGCAAAAACCCACTTTCAAAGGCCAAACGAATAGCCTCATAGTGGATAATGTAATTTACGGTTACAGGTCTGAGCATGGGCCTCAGAACCGCAGGGCTGTGAGTGGGGAGTTTCAAGGTGACTGCTTTTTAGCTCCAGGGGAGCCGGGAGGGCATGGTGCCCAAGGCTGTGCCTGGGCGAGGACGGGCAGCTGGCTCCTTGCCGGCCGGTAGGTGGGTAATCTTGATGAGGAAGGACAGCCTAGCAGCTCGGCCAGCTACAGGGCTGAAATGGCTCCCGCCTGCTTGTTTATCTGGAAGGAGATGGGGGAGGGGGGAGGGCGGCCATAGCCTAGGCAACCTGAAGCAAGGGTGAATCCTTGCTTTTTGCATATAACAGCAACCCGAGGGCTTCTAAACACATTCCCTTCCTAAAACCTCCGCTGTGAGGTGGCAAAGGCACTTTTGCGTGTGTCTTTCCTTTCAGGGTCAACCAGAGGCAAAGCCAGATCTAGGGCTTCTCAGCTGACAAATGTCTGTTGCTTCTGCCACAGGAGAGAGAAGGGAAAAAGAAGGCAAAAGAAACAAGAGCACACATCTGAAGTGGTTGGACTCAAAAAACCTACCTCTGTCTTCAGGGTTTTCTGTGTTACTGTCCTGGCTTTTTATTAAAGATTGACTCACTTTCCCCCTCTCCTATTTAAAACCTGAAGCCAGTTCCCCCGTTACCTAGGAAAAGAAAAGGGGGGAAGGAAGGAAGGAAGGAAGGAAGGAAGGAAGGAAGGAAGGAAGGAAGGAAGGAAGGAAGGAAGGGAGGGAGGGAAGGAAGGGGGGGCTATTGTTTTCATCCCTAATTTATAATCCAAGATGCCCCATCAAGTGTTTCTGACTCAAATCTTTGAGCTGAATAATTATAACCAAGTAACTGGACAGAGCTCCAACAAGCTAACCATGGTCTTACACAGCAATTAGTAAAACTCTGTAGAGAGTTTAGTGGGTGATTATATATAATTAATTCCTAGTTGCAGACGGAACACTGACCATTTTCTGGAGCTAATAAAAGCAGTCACTCCCCCTCCCCCACACGAATGCCACTTAATTTCCCAAAGCAGAAAGTGAACCCATCCTGGAGGGTCTTGAAGGAAGAAGGGAGGAAAAAAAAAAAAGGGAGGGAGAGAGGAATCAAAAGCCCCAGTGTGTCTGTGTTTGCTCCTTGCAGCTGTGCACCCTCTTTGGGGACTGAGGAGGCAGAAGGAAAAGGGAAAACAGCCCAGTGTTCGGTCCCTCCCTCTGCCATTTGCCAATGTGGCAGAGAGAACATTCTACCTTGATATAAAAAGAAGGGGGGCAGGGGGAGATGCCCTAAGAATGAACTGCAGGAAGACTCTTCAGCTTGGTGGACCTGCTTTTCCTAAAAGGAACAAAGATGGTAGAAATTTCCAGAAGGCCCAGTCTCAGCTCGGCCACTGCAATAGTCAGTCTGTAACCTTTCCTCCCGGTCCATTGGTTCAAAAGCTGCAGCGGGGAGCCCCACTGGGCTGCTCTGTGAGCCAGCTGTGCTGTGCCTACCTAGTCCTGCTGCATTGCAGACATTTAGTCCCCTGCCCCCCCCCCCCCAGTGAAACTGGGAAATCATGCTGCTTTGAAAGCAACTGACTTTTACAGACTCAGGCTTGGTGGTGGCCACAGGACCCAGGGAAAGGGGCTCCCTTGGTCCAGGGCTGGGAATTTGCTGGGGCTGCACATGTGAAAACTGAGCTTGGCTTTGCAAACCTGTGGGAGCCATTTTAATATGAGCTTTTAGACAACAAATGCCCTGCTGCCCTTAGGTTTCCTTCCAGCCCAACACACACACCATTATGCAAACGTTGAAGGCACCAAACCAGGGGTCTTGCGATTAGATATTGCTTGGGGGGGGGGGGGGCACCAGAACCTCAGTATGTAATTTCCATTTACGGCCAGGAGGTAAGAACAAAGAGAATAGCTAAGTGTCTGAACTTACTTGTGGAGGGCAGCAGCCTGTTCCCTTTTAAGTATAGAAAACATCATTAACTCCCTGCACTTTTACTCTAAGAAGCTAGCCTTACACAGACTTTTCTTAACTTAGAATTGGTCCATTTCTCATTACTAAGGTGCTAAAAGCTGGACAATAATTTAAAAAGAAAAAAAAGATTAATTACTGACTCCATCAGGTTGGCGTAACATAGCAATCAAATAGAGTTCCAGCATCCACGGTCACGCGGGATTGGTCTCCAGGCTGGAAACTGATGCAGAGAACTTCTAGGGAAATTCTGAAGCTAATGCTCAACAAGAATCCACTTTGCTTCCCCCAACTCTGAAGTTCTAACTGCAGCATTAAGAGATCAGGGGAAGTGTAAGAAGTGAGAAATAAATCATAAGTTAAAGGCAAGCATGCATACAGATGTGTGTGGGTCAGACTTGGAAAAAGGCCGAATCTGCTGTGCAGTGAGTGCTGAATCAAGTTTGCTGGGGGGTTGGGATTCTGCACTCAGTGTCAGTATCTTAAAACCTGATTCCTGCCACCACCAT